GCACTTTCCCCTTTTTTAAACTATTTTGATGTTGCTCTAGCCTGGATTCCACAACGGATCTACATGCCATGCCATCGTAGGAAATTTGGGCTGGGCTCGTAATACGTTTTAACAACAACCAATAGACGAGAGCCATTGACAATTGGATTTTTCGAGATACGAAACGCACAACAGGAAGACGACCGATTCAGTAGTCCGATATGCTCACAAAAAGCTTAGAAATAATGATAATATGCCCAACAATAAGAGCAGAGAGAAGTCACTGAGTAACTCTTGCAGGCGATAGGGAGAAAGGGAAATGTCACTGGTGCTCGCTTGGGTCACTTAGCGATCAACAGAACGACAGGTGACACAGCTGATGGATAATTGCGGATATGATTTGAAATGAGAGCGCATCAGGACTAGAAGGTAAAGATCGCTCTTTTTCTAGTTCAAAGCAAACCACTTCGATATTGGGCCTTCTTACAAGTTTTGAGATTAAAGCAATAAACACCAAATTCCTTAACCAAAAGTAATCATAATTACTTGATAACACTACTCGAATTATTCACCATCAGCCTGAACACATTTGCGCCATCTCTCAGGCAACAAATCATTACCTCTTGTGAAGAATTATTTGAGCTCTTTTTCGGCACCAAATTTGTCCATGATTACGGCATCATGGTCGTTTAACGAAATCTTTATCGCAATTTGCTGCTTTTTGCAGACTGTTAAACGATGTTAAAAGTGAACACGAATGCATAGCATGTCCCTCAGGGATTGATCAACGCTGCGAGTTTTATCCTTCAGCTTTTTGAATCACAAACGAACGAGGGTGAAGTTATACAACAAAATTCGAGCTAAACTGTGTGCTATCTACAGGTTTCACAGCAATGGCAGAGAAAAATTAGGCATCGCCTAGCACCAGAAGATCGCAAAACATTAACAAGGTAAGGGAAACGCGACTTTTCTCCCAAAATGCATGAAATGTCGATTTATCGATTAATATTACGGTAGTAAAAGGGCCGGGTCACACAAAACCTTGCCGAGCGAGCTCCGTGGCATCTGTAGGCTTCACAGGAAGCGGAGCGAAGATCAGACATCATCCAGTGCGCAACAAATCCGATATTAGGTATCGTCGCGACAGTGTTACAGATCAGTGACTCATGGGTCGCGCTAATTTTCTTGTGTCATACCGATGTTAGTATATGTACAAAAATTATTTCAATCACTAGTTATTTCCATCAATTCAAGCGATTTTTCAACGAATCTACTTTATGCTTTCTTCCAAGAGAATACCAAGAAAATTTCCGCAGTGGAAAAAATAAAACGGCTCACTTCCATTTTTAGCTTAGGATGTCGGCGTTGTTCAGTTTTTTTCTCGACTTTCATTGCATACACTTTTGTCGTATCTGTTTCATCATGAACTCTGAACAAATTGAACTAAAGTCGCTGTACTTCAAAATTTCACAAATATTTACTAATTACTTGTAGACGGCGCCAAATCCACCTTTTCCTAGTAGTTGGACGACGACATAGTTAGCTCTGCTGGACTTGATTATTGTCCCCCAAATGGACATGACTAATGCGGGTTGTGCAACGATTTATGAGTTGTGACGATAAAAGACCAACAGCTTTGATTTCCAGAGAATTATCTTTGGAGTTGCTCATTTTGCTTTAAGAAAAACTACTCTTCAACACTCTAAAATAAGCTTTTATAGTGGAAGCAAACATAACAAATGAATGTTAGTGATAATGGATTGATTTCAATGTTGATCTCTTATCATTGTTCAAAAACATTTCCGTATAACATTCTTTGTGCACTCCTCTCCAATGCGGTCGGTCGACCATATCCTAGGATTTGAATTGTCTGTGAGTGTTGAAAATTGAGAAGCGAGCCTCGTTCCACAAGACTGTTCTTCAATTTATAGCCGAACAGAGCGTATTTAGCAACCTGATGTGATGACTTGTTTCAGTGATAGAAAAGAAATCCTTGGCGGAATCGATAATTCGCGTTTCAATCGTGGAAAAGTTTTCTATTGATTATTCGACCGAATTTTTCACTGTCTTTCTCATAAGAACATTGATCGTACTTTCATGAAGCTCCATTTGAACAGAGACGATTGCGAATATTGTCACATTTTAACTATAATATTACATGAATTACGGAAGCCAAGCCCGTCTTTTCGACTACGCATCTCTACGGAAATGTTTCAGCCGGGTGACAAACGGCTCTAATGATACCATTTCAGTTTACGTTAATATGTATGTGTATTTTACATTAATCTCTTATGTTAAATAAGATTATTTGCCCTGCTGCATTTTAATCATTATTCTTTGTCACACAGCACTTAATGTATATAAATATTAATGTATAAAAATGACTCCGTCGTTTTTTGCTGTAATATTAGTGAAAATAAAGATATCCAAATTTCTTTTCTTTGTTTAGAAGTGCGTTAGAAACGCTATTCAGACAAATGTTTCTCATATATAATTTACTTTATATGTTGGGTTTTTACGGGACATTGTCGATGCCGATTTTTTGTGCCCAAAAAAGCCACTTTTCGAAATTTCCTTGTTTGTAAATTGAAAAATCAGTAATTTCAAGTAGTAACCTGATGGTGTAATGTTTGAAGAGCAGACCGGGTGAGACAAAGCCTCCTAATACTTCCCACCTCAGCTCTTTACGACGTTTTTATTTGGTTTTGCATGAGGAAGTCAAGCGTTTTCATACAGCAATATTGCAGAGTTCTTGCCTTTTCGTTTTACGATGTGTGATTTGTAACAATATGTTCTGAACACAGGAGAGAACTCTTAATCGAAATTTCCTCCATCTAGGTTGACAATTTTCGGCCACTTTTCGGATAAGAGATTAACAATCAACGAACAGTCGCACTCTTCGGCAAACCTTCGACGCGCCTTTGAAAGACTCTATAGGGTCATCCTTGTGCGGACGGTACGAGCGTGACCGATCCTCCAGACTGTTCTCTTCAGCTCTGTACTTCGCAAACCACTTCAATGTCGTCTTTTCTGCAATCATACCATCACCCCAAGCTCCATTATTCTTTGTGCGCCGCTTCATTAACATTTCCTTCTATGGGCCATTCGTGCATGAGTAGTAAGCGACTTTTGTTCCCTAGAGAGCTCCATCTTGAAGCGGGTACAGGCAAATTGTACAGCGAAATGTGGGCAAGAAAATATGCAATTGAGCGATGCCGAAATCACGAATTTTATGGGAAAATTCATATTAAAACACTAAAGCAGCGTGCACTTTTTACACATGATATTTATAGCAAACCTCCCAAGGGAGTTTTGCTATCTTTTCGGGAATTACATGATAACTTAGGCAACGCAGATGGTCCATGACCTTAAAGAGCGAATGGTATCGCAGAGGTTCGAGGACCTTAGACAGAAAATGTTCCAAGTGGCAAGGGCGGCACCCAGCTGTCACCAACCTCAACAGTCAGTTCGATCGCGGGGCATCATCCGAACGATCGTCTGATACCACCCGGACCACCTCACCTCAAATCGTAAATGATCCATTATTGCTCTCTTCACACAATCTCGTTATCGTGTAACTAATTGCTTTCATAGGGTTGTGTTCATACAACTGTCAGATGAACTCAATAGAACTGTGAGCGGAACATAGCGCTTCCGTGGCGGAGCATACTCACTTAGGCTATTCTCGGCCCGTCACCGCGGTTTAGGGATTCTGCCCATAACTAATCAGTAGTGACCCCACTGCTAACACTATACACTCACCCGCTGGATCCCGCCCCCGGTGCTTCTACTTTGGGGCGAGCATAGCAACCCCAAACGGGCTCCGCTACTTAGTCATGCTCCGTCACTTGCAATAACATTGTCGCTTGCAATAACATTATCACTTACAACAACATCACCACTTACCATAACACTTCCGCTTACGATAACATTCATAGCATCGTCGGATGACGATACTTCTCATCAATCGGTCACTCACAGTGACTTAGGCATATGTTCGCTTAACGATATGTCGTAATCACGTATAAATTATCATTATAGTAACGTATGTATATTATAGGTTGTTTGGTTGTACCACATTGTTTGGTACCACGCCATTGTGCGGTTCCATCCTATTGTTTGGTATAAACCGTATAAACTATTGAGCTTTCACAATACAGTACGAATCCACTGAACCACGACATATAATTCAGTACATCGGCTACAAATCTTTGACACAGGTTTGGTGCATTGGCAGGAAGTCGAACCCGGGTCGCCCGCGTGGCAGGCGAGCATTCTACCACTGAACCACCACATATAATTTAGTACGTCGGCTACAAATCTTTGCTACAATATTATATTGTTCTCGTTGTTGTGGATCACGAGAAAATACATTAGGGCAATGAAAAGAGAAATAATTTCGTGATTTCCCTTTTCAGTAAGTACTAGATTGTGAAAACGCATTCACTTTGTACAATATAGAACAAATTTGGTCATATCAATGGTCAACTGTTGGGGTTTTCGTCTCCTTCAGAGTCCGAAAAAGTTAAACTAAGCTGCAGTTCACGTACACCTTAAACATGGAAGCAATAGCTAGGCTAGGTGCCAGTCGCTGTCCCATTGCCGACCCTCTCATCTGCGCAAAACACTTCCTGGATCAACTAAAGATTAAGTGGCTTACATACTCTTCTAAAAGAACCATGGTCTGCTGTATCGACAAACTATACATGTTCATCGTTTCACTAAATACAACACCCTCGAATGACATGAGACAGATTCACATCGGAAGGGCCATCGGCTGTAGGTGAACGACACGTACCACTTAAATTTTGAAGAAGGTGCAGTTGCTGCTGAGCACTAGACACAAAGAGGACAGTATGATAGATGTGGACTTATAGAAATGTAAAGGAAAGAACAACATCAATGGAGAAAGTTTGTGGATAGAGAACGGAAAACAAGGCTTTCAATGACTTAAACATATTTTTCTCTGAGTGAAACTGAGCTGCTTAACCCAATAATGTAGAGTAGTACGCAGAAACATTTGCATCAGCCGGGATTCGAACCCATGTCCCACTTTTTCCGATAGCGTGTGCTGAACCGTTGCACCAACGGCGCAGCTTAGAGTTTGGCATTTTTAGGCTTCTAACCACACGTAGTGGTTAGTTCGGTCTACGTTCCAGACTCACCGGCCTTAAATTCTTTCCAAGTAGTCAAATTGTTATCAGATTGACTTGAGACAGCAGCAACATTTTATGATTTTATTTATTTATAGACTACCATAAGTCATCGTAGAGGCCAGACATGCATACGAGCACCTTTAACGAGGCGCAGTGAAGTCAAATCCGCCGTGTGTTACTCGAATATTGATGTACGCAGTGAACATTAAAACTTCTCATGTACAAGTTTCTAGCGACTTTTTTGACTATATACAAGGAGAAGCAGTTTCTTTGGTAACTTCATAATCTGTTGCTGAGCTACATTATCTTACAGGATTCACGAGAAAGGAAATCACCAAACAAGGCGATTAGACACTGTGTCTTTTATCTCACAAACTAATTTTTCTTCATGAAAAGCTTGTGGGAGGTTGGCATATCTTCTTCGAAATGATAACTAGCGTTTCGGCAATTTCGTGCTTCTCAGAACCGCTTAATCATTAGAGTGGAAAGTCACGTTTATCCTGTCACGCACGTTGAATAAAGTGAGGAAAAGTGAAAAAGATTTTTTTTTATAAACTATGTGACTACACACCAGTGACATTTCCCACATAAGTTGTCAAACGGCGCTGAAAAAGGTAGAGTCGCCGAAGTGTAATATACATCAATTTTGAAACAGAGATATCATTGCTGCACAGGAATTTAATAAAGAATAACTCATTGAATACCTTTCCATTTCTTATGCAAAGGTTTAAACATCTCGGAACCCACCAGTTGTATTCGTCACGCGCAGTGAGAATCGTAGTCGATGCGCGATTTCTGTTACTTACTGCGGATTTTTTTTCGTTGCTTTGGATATAAATATAGTGCTTTCGTGATTTTTCAAAAGCTTACGATTTTTCCCAAGCACTCGCATGCTCTTTGTGCAAATGTAACGTTCATGTTTAATTAAAAAGTTTCTGTTTTACTGCGTAATTATAGTGATGTGGGAATTTGGTGAGTCGTAATAAGTTACACAATGAATATAATGGTATAAATTTATCACTTCCAATGAATTTTGCTTTATGCAAAACTCAAAATTTGTAATTGTAACTGAAAATTAGAATATAATGCATAATTTGTCAGAAATGATGTTGCATAGTGCATTCGATACCAGGCCGTTGATGCGAAGGCAAAGAAGATTCCTTCTGGAAGGGGCCTTATTCTTTGGAGAAAAACTTTCCTTCAAACTTCCAGTAACCAGTCGATCGCTCAAATTCTTGCAATTACGATACTTTGCTTGGCTTTAGAAAAAAAGTGTTATAGTGTGATGTAACGGCGAAAACAAAACCATGTTTCACAGTCGGCACTCCTTGTTCACTCAACTTGACTCCGCTTTTCAATATCTGAGTAGCTTTCCATTCAAAGTTTAAAGCCTATATGATAGCGTAAATCATGAAAGGTCTAAAACTTGATCTTTGTTTCAAAAAGTTTTGTATAGATGTCAAGAATGTCTAAAGCCTTACTGAGGTTATTGCGCCAGAGCCATACACGTGTTTCGGAAGTTTTGTATAGTTTGCCGTTAAAGCAAAAAGGAACCTACGTTTCACCTTTAAAGTTTTCTTCGCACATATAAGATATGTTTGCATAAAAGCGCATGAGCATGTAAAGGCAATCATATTGTATCTGAAGGTGAAAACAAATCTGTACCTCGCAACAGATGCAAAATTGCTGAATGAATAACAAAAATTGTGCTCCTCATAGCGCTGCGTGCAGCGATTACAATTGACGCTCCGAAACCATGCGACTTTCGTTAATTATTTGAAAATTTTTCTCCGCTTCGCGAAATTTTCCGAGCTTGACGAAACTATGGAAAGGACCTCGCTTTATTGTTTTATTGACATTGGCTTTTTATTTTCTTTCTACGTAGCAATCAAACACGCTTCAAATTTCAGAGCAATGGTAAAGTATTTTGAGTGCAGAACGTAATGTTTTTTTCGCTCTTAAAGCGGTCTGTAAAGAATTTTTCGGATTAAAACCAGTACTAGAAGTTTTCGTGATTCCTTCTATAATGGTTGTCTAGTTATCACTAAATATTTTTTGAAAAACAGGCACAGACGCCAGCTCAAAATATTAGTGTTAACACGAAACCACGAAAGGCTAGTGTCCCACTGTTGGTGCACTTGGTCTCGGAAGGATTAGCGAGACACAATTTCTTTTCGTCGCTACTACAGCGGAATAGAAGCTTTAATCAAAAATTAAGTTTGCAATCAAAATTACCGTTTTTCATGCTATCGGTTAGCTACTGAAACTTTGATGAGAGGACTTTGTCTGGGAAAGGCCACACACGTGCGCAAGATACACTGCACACTCTACGAAAGAACGTAGTTTTCTCTCCGTTACTGCAACTCACTAGAAAAAACGCTTCTAAAAATCAAACATAGTATTAGAACTGTGACCTTTTCAGCTATCGAATGTTTACTGGAGCAATAGTGAAAAAGCTTTCTTTGGTGAAAATGCCAAGCGCACACGAATGCAATATGCACAGTGCACTTCGACGAAGAAACGTAATTTCCTCTTTATTGTTGGAGCTCAATGGAATAGTGTTTTCAAAAATCAAGCTTTCCATCGAAGCCGGAGTTTTTGAGCTATCGAATGACTACTCAAGGTCCGCTGATATTTGTTAATTCGATGAGAAAATAGCGAAAAGGCGTGTGTACAATGAGTGGTGACGTGGTAATGAAAGGGATAATAAGAGTCGATCTTCGTATTTACTACATATCTTGGTCCTTTAACAAATCTGACAATGAGAAGAACCCAGTGCTATTCATTAATATGTGTTTTCGAAAAGCTTAGAGAAATGCTAGTTATTTTATGTTGGGTATGAATGTCGATGGTCCCGAGGTCAGTCATCTTCTCTTCTGTGATAACTACACCATCCCGTGGCAGCGAAGCGAGAAACGAACGCTAGAGGAGTTTGCATGTGGAGATTGTAGCCTATATGTGTACACATAAGCTCATAGAACAATGCCACTTCTATTATTTTGTGGAATGGTCACCTTTTGTATGCCGATAAAAGTCGTTGTAAGTGTCAAAAGCCCAGTATTGTCTATGATCTATTGTGCTTTAACCTATTCGGTACGACACGACACGACGCTAGCCGCGTCTTCTCTTGAGAAGTGAATTTTTCGTAGCTCCGAATAGTGAATAATACCAGCCGTCTCTAAAATAAGATTAATATTTTGACCCGCTGCGACGACGCTCTACAGCAGATTTTTTGGTATTAGTTTATGGTACCGACAAGTATTGGAAATTTCTTCTCCAGACGTGATTATTATACCAATAAAACACTCTATTATCCTAATATCACAACATTTTAAAACGAAACATATATTCATGAGGTAACAGCAGAACTAACGCACAGGTTTTGCAAAACTTGCTCCACTCAATTTTATATAAGTTTCCTCTGCAACATAGTACACTGTAGAAATTGCGTAATAGTGATTGTCTATAGAAGAACGTCAAATATTAATTGATGTCAAAGAATTACACTTAAGACATTCTGTGAAGCTTTGCGGTAGGAGCTCGAAAAAGCAGCCCTTTACGATGGCAGGCAGCACTAACAACTCGGCACAACGGACTGCTCGCCACGCACGGCGAGCTGAAGCTGGAGGCTTGTCATTATAGCATCCAATGGGTTAATGGCGGACAAGCTGTCTAAGTTAGCAACGCGAGCGAACTTCCTTGTCATACCTTGCGACATTGATTTTTAGCATCAAACGTTATGTGATGGATACCTATCCTCGCATATCATTAAAGATACGGTTACTGGTAGTCCTTTCTTACGTGACCTTTTGCTTCCCAAAATTGGCCTCTATTAGGTAGAGCTTATGATTTCATATTAACAACAATGAAAAAATTATAAAATCTGAATGGGAAGTAATCACGATATGCGTTGATCTCAGTGCAATAACTACATATTCGTTTTGTGATTTACCTAATGAAACACGGTTGATACGAAAATAATTTTTCAGTGACGTTCGACATTTCCGTCCTCTTTAGAGCAGATGAATCAAGTCGAGTGTCCAAATTTTTTGCTCTTCTGCGAGATATTTGCATTCGCTTATCTTTCGAATGAAGTCCTCTCCGGTGGAGATCCCCTTGATTGAGGAAACTCACTAGGCCCATACATGCAGCGCGGTTGATGATGACACTGGTTGCTAGTTGATAATATATTATTTCCAGCCGAGCAAAATTACACGATGGGTTTTTCACAGTGTGGGGCAACTCAGCGATGACCTTTATCACATAAGCAGTTAAGCTTCTCTGAGAGACTCAAGTCGGTGAAACAACAGCATCTACTTTTTGAAAAGCTATACCAACGTCAGGGAGCGCATGTGGAGCAGTAGTCATAGGTACTCTGCTTCGCACACGAAGCCAATGGTTTGATCTCGCGCTCATGACTCTTCAAGCCATCCATCCCTCCGAGGTCGTGAAAATTGGTATCAGACTGGTCTCAGACTTGTCTGGGAGTATGAGCAGCCCTAACTCCGTTCAGTGGGAGGCCACCGCAAGTCAGTGTAAAGGCCAGATATGTATTCGATCACCTCAAGCGTAGTGAAGAATTGAAGACGGATGCATTGCACATCTCTCAGGGATTGATCAACGCCGAGAGCTTTATCTTTTATATTAACTTCGCATAAGCTTTTGAGTAAGGAGAGTTTGCGGTGCAGTTTTCATTTTTCGTGTCGAGGTCTAGTGAGAGTTGATAATTTGATTTACTGCATATGCGTATTCCAATTGACAGTGCACACCAAATGATATGGATCGTTTAGCTTAGTGTTCTAGGAAGTAGTTATTGAAGGTTAACGGTTTATCGGAAATTCAATGGGTGAATTTGCAGTGAAGCATTCTCTTCAGGAATTCAATGTTGGATATCAAACTACATTGTTGAGTGGCAGCTTACTGCAAATTAATCTTTAT